TTTTCATACATTAGGCCCTTCTAGGGCTACAGAGCCTACTACTCTTTGCTGCTAAGAGATTTAACTTTTTGTTGACAATTATCTAAGAATCATATTGATTTCAGTGTGATGCAAATGCAGCAACTGCCAACAAACATTCTTCAAAAAAATGATAGCTTCTGTAGCCCCAGACTTGGATTTGCTCAACATAGGGTAGGTCTTCATAATATGAGTATTAAAGGTTTAGTTCACCTTTTCACCTTTTCCCCAAAAATGAAGTTAAACTAGCTCACAACACCCTCCCCACCACTGCAGTCCATTGCATGTACCTTACATGATTCCCATCTTCGAACACCCTCTCCAGGATGTATGATGGTCAAGAACTTCACAAAATAGCTCTTGACGCTGTATAGTGGTATACTTCCCAAACTTTGAAGTGCTCATTCACCAGCACTGACCATGTGACTGCACTGACCAATAAGAATCTGTACTTCATTCTGGGATACCATCCTGGAAGAAGCTTTAAAAGGATTTCCATTGGTCAGTGTGGTTATACAGCCTCCGAATCTGTGTAGTGCTGTTTTAAAGTGTCTGACCGTTATACTGACTGGATAAGGTGGTGGAAGTGGTGGAATCATACAAGGTACATGCAGTGGGGACTAGAGGGGTGGAGAGGGTGTTTTGAGTTAACTTACCTTTTCATTTTTCAAATCTGAACTAACCTTTTAAAGAATACCTTACGTAATAGAAATATAAAGGTTCCCATTGTTGACCCCTGGCCTTCAATACTTTGAGTCACCAACTCTGAACATGTACACATAACAGGAAGTTAGAGCCAAGTCAAAAGTCCATATCTGCTTAGTTGCTCTGGGTTAGTGAGCATTGAAGCAAAACTGGAACTGGAGCATAGGATTTTTGTGTCAGACAGGAAGATTGTATACACAATAAATATCCAGACAAAAGAAGAACAAAGGGGATAGCAAACAAACAGCACTTGGCAGCTGGTCAGGAGCATACAAATCAGAGAGAGCAGGTCTAGATGCAGCTCCGAGGCAAAAGACCTAAATAATCACAAGAGGGAATCATATAAGAAAAGCTCTGGGCAAAGAGTATTGTAAGAATATGATCTCTGATAATAGGCACATAAAATAATGTGAATGTTAACGAATAATAAGGTTCTTTCCAAGTCATAAGGTGGTCATTGGAAAAAGAGAAACAAACAATTGCATATTAAATCCTTTTCACACTGATCCTGGGATTTTTAGTTTTTTTGCTATATAAAATGAAAAAGTCCAAACATTTTGTAAAAAAAGTGTTTTTCTTATAAAAAAGTTTGCAAATAAATAGTCTTTCTTCATAAATCTTGGCCAAAATGTATTCAGCTATATTTTTAGTTAAAAAAAAAAATAACCCAAATTAGTTTATAACCAAAAATTATAATTTTTCAAACCTTTTTTTTTTTTTTTTTTTTATGTTGTTTTTTTTTTTTTTAACATACTGTCACCCTAGCAGTACAGTGTCGCCATAGTGACACTGTACTACTTGTGGGGGGTGATAAAGATTTTTTATTCTTTTTTTACACTGATTGCTTTTACACCCATAAAGGCTGTAAGAGCAATCATTGCTCCTTATCTCTGGCTGCATTCTTGCAGCCATTGAAAAATACTGTGAGAGCTGTGATTGGTCACAGCTTGTCACATGGTACAAGGCTGTTGTGAATAGCCTTGTACCATGTGACCTCTGTGATCATTCACAGATTTCACAAGTAGTAAGCAATGATGTCAGGAAGTGACATCTTGTTTACTACTATTCATGTGATCACTGATTGGCCAATCAGTGATCACATGAATCAGGAACTCACACAGAGGTCCCATACAGCAATCCGGACACAGCAGGCACCAATCGCGGTGCCATGCGCACAGGTAGTGAACGCAGGGTGGCGTTTAGAAATGTCAACCTGCTTCGGCAGTGCTCCCGTCCAGCCGTTTATCTACATGACCGGATGGGAAGTGGCTAAAGTGGTATTAAGCCCAAAACCAAAAACATAATATATTGCAGCTTACCAATTATAAGATGTGGTAGCGCATTTTTGGGGGGCTTTATTCCTCTGTTTTCACCTGGTGACCTGGCCACTAACACACCTCCTGTATTAGGAGGAAGGGGAGTGTTAGATGTACTAGCAGATTTAGATACACTAACAAACTGAAGCCAAACTACAGCTAACACTCAGTCACAGCAACAGTTTTTTTGTTCCTTTTGAGATGAAGGTTTTACATAAATAACAGACATAAAAATAGTAAACCGTGATAGTGGTCTTGCCAGCAAAAAGAAAAAAAACATTAGAAAAACAGCTGCAAGCATGCTAGGTGATATCTACCTTAGCTCCAAAAATATTGAGAATTAATTCATAAGAATTGTAGAAAAAGAGACAAAACATCCATTTGTAAGTCCACTTATCAATCCGATATTCTACTGAAGGAATGAGATAAATTAGTGCATCTTACACCAGTGAAACAAGCCATCACCAAGATTTGCAAAAGCTTTTCAGTCCCCATTACCAACTAAAAACATAGAAAGATCATAAAATGCATGGGATAATTTCCCTGGCTCCCTTCAAGGCAGGCAACTGGATAATAGATGAGACTCAGGAATACTCAAAGATGTTCAATCACTTCCACACAGCACAAAATGGAACTCCCATACTGTTTCACAGGACACATCTGATAGCAGACATCCAGGCATTTTGCAATGTGAAAAGATCAAGACAGGGCTGTATAAAACATCAGTCCAAACTCAACTCACGGGGGGCACTTCCAGTTCTCAAAGGACTCAATAACCTTACATAAATAAATAAACACTGATCATTGTAAGCACCCATTAGTGGTAAATGGCTACATTTGCGGGACAACTTGTTCTGTTGAAATATAACAGACTTACTGGCAGGATCACAAGGTGAAAATAAAAGAAAGAATGCCTTAAAAATAAAACAAATACAGTTATCACATCTAAGGATTGGTAAGCTGCAATATAGTAAATGTATGCTCTTGGATTTAATACCACTTTACCAACTTCAGTACTCAGCATGAGTGGTCTCACAGTTTGAATGACAATTGCGTGCTCATGTAACACTGTACCCAAACTAAATTTTTATCATTTTGCTCACACAACTAGAGCTTTCTTTTGGTGGTATTTAATCACTACTGAGTTTTTAATTTCTTTGTTAAATAAATGAAAAAAGACTGAAAATTGTGAAAAACAAAAAAAAAAAGTTTGAAACCGATTCATTCAGTGTTTTTGTTGTGATTGGCCACAGCTAATCACATGGCACAGATGGGCTGTGATTGGCCCAGTCTGTACCATGTGATTACTGTGACCAATCACAGCTAGCAACACAATTGTATACAATGGATAGCATGGAAGGAAGTTGTCCTTTGTTTACAATTGTCTTGTGACCTGCTGAGATTTTTAACAGCGGTCACATAGTACCAGCAAGGGTACACAGATGCGTTGAGACAGATCTCACTGCAGTGTGGCCCCGCGGGTGCACGTGAGATGGTGATCCGGGAGGACATCATATGACGCCCACCTGGATCAACGAAAGTCCCACGCGGCCGTCATTTTACTACAGGCCGGGCGGGGACTGTTTAAATCATTTGGGTTTAGTTCCATTATAAACCCTTTTCAGACATAGAAATGTTGATATAAAGTAGAGCTATTGATGTAAGGTACAATCCATTTAACCTTCTATAATGAATTTAGGTATCTGAGGATTCTTTTTTTAAAGACTAAAGTAGTATTAAATCCCAAAACAAACATTTTTTTATATTGCAGTTTACCAATCCTTACATTAGATGGTTGCATCTGTTTTTCTTTTCATTATTTATGCTTTTTTGCCTTTATTTTTACCTGGTGATCCCTCCAATAACAAACTTCCTGTCTTAGGGTGTCTCCATTCTGGGTAAAAGAGTAACAGAGGCAAATCTAGACAGTAGCATTGTCAGGCTGGGGAAGCAGTAGTGTTAGCAAGCAAACCCAGCAAGCAATGCTTTTTTTATTGGGGGGATACAGCTTTTATGTAAATGAATAAAATGTGACCATTGTAAGCACCCAGCAATGATAAATAGTTTGTCTCATTCGTCTAATTGCCACTTTTGCTAGAAAGCTTGGTCTGTTAAAGAAAGTTGAAAAAGAGCAGACTTACTGGCAGGATCAGCAGGTGAATAAAAGGAAATCATCTTAGATTGGTAAACTGCAATATAATATTTTTGTTTTTTGGGTTTATTTCTGCTTTAAATTGTGTTCAGATGTCCTATTGTGTTGAAATATAAAAACAAATCTTTAAAAGCTAAAGCAAATGTATAAGTTTATTATATATTATGTATAGTATATTTTAAAACAACATGAAGTTTATGGGCAAGCAAAAACTGTAAATTTTTGGTGCTTTGGTTTTTTTTGTTTTTTGGTAAATGTGATAATAAAAAAAAATTTGTGAATTGGTTCTGTTTGTAATTCTGTTGATGAATGTAAGCATAAGTGCTGTTTAGTTTAACCACTAGCCTACAGGGCACTTATACCCCCTTCCTGCCCAGGCCAATTTCCAGCTTTCAGCGCTGTTGCACTTTTAATGACAATTGCGCAGTCATGCAACACTGTACCCATATGAAATTTTTATAATTTTTTTGTGACAGATAGAGCTTTATTTTGATTTCTTAAACAAACCAAAAACCACTGAAAATTTTGAAAAAAAACAAACTTTTTTTTAGTTTTTGTTATAAAATTTTGTAAATAAGTGATTTTTCTCCTTCACTGATGTGCGCTAATGAGGCTGCAGTGATGGGCACTGATAGGCTGCACTGATGGACACTGATAGGTGGCACTGATGAGGAGGCACTGGTAGGCACTGGGCATGGTGACTGATGGGCATTGACAGGCATCATTGATGGGCACTGAAAGGCAGCACTCATATATGGCACTGATAGGCAGCACTGATAGGTGGGACTAATAGGTGGCACTGACTGGCACTGTTAGGTGGCACTGACTGGCACTGTTAGGCAGCACTGATGGGCACTGATAGGCGGCACTGATGCACACTGATAGGTGGCACTGACTGGCACTGATAGGTGGCATTAATTGGCAGCACTGATAGGTGGCACTGACTGGCATTGATGGGTGACATTGAAAGGCAGTTCAGATGGGAACTGATATGTGGCATTGATGTGCACTGGTAGGCACTGAAATGTGGCATTGATGGGCATTGGCAAGTGGCATGGATGAGCACTGACAGCTGGCACTGATGGACACTGACAGGTGGCACTGTTGGGGCTACACAGATCATCAGGGCACACTGATCATCAGTGCCCTGATGATCAGTGTACATGTCCCCTCTGAGGGATGCTGATTACCGGCTCTCCTCTCCTCTTGAGCTGTCAGCGTGAAAGCTTGTGGGGAGAGAAATGCTGATAACCCGCATTTCCTGATTTACATGAGATCAGCTGTGATTGGACACAGCTGATCACATGACCGAGCCAACATCTTCGGCTCTTTCCGTTGATTGGTGATCCGCTGTGTCCCTCCCAGAGACGCGCATGCGCAGTTAGAGTGGGAGGACATCATCCGCCTTGCTCCATCATTGTACTATATGGCAGGCGGGAGGTGGTTAAAACCAACATCATATTCATAAGCCAGAACAGCTACCTATACCTTGATTTTATTTTTAATACACTTGGAAATATAAAGTTAATGATTTTTTATAAAAGTGGACCTTTTAGTAACTTTGCAAATCTGCATGAATAAATCCCTGGCATACCAAAAGATACAGTTAGGGCCTTTCATTGCAATGCATAGCTGTAACATACCCCATGGCGTCCCTTCACGCTTGCATTACAGCAAAACGCAACAAATGTCAATGTGGAAACATGTTGCAGGAAATTCATGTGTGTGTTTTAGTGAGACCATTGATTTGTGAAATTAATTGTCTGCCTTAACTAGCGGTGGACACAACACGTTAATGCACCAGAACATGAAGGTGCAAATGGACCCTAACAGTATAAATTTTTATGAAAAGCACCATTTTTTTATCATTAGAAAGTAATCCATAAACTCCAGTTTACTGAGATAACATGACCAGATTATACAGGCAGAGGGAAGCATGTTCTGATTTTCCTCTCTCGTTGATCAGACTGCAAATTCTAACTTTGTAGCCTGTCACAAAGGGAAAGGCTATAGTAGGGGCTGATTTGTGTCAGACTTTTGTGACACAGCTAAAAAAATATATAGGAACCAGAATTTACATGACTGTTATCCCCTGAGCCAGCATCTCAGTCCAACAACTAGAAGCTGGATGAATTCTGAACAAAGATGACTCCATGCTTCTGTAGAGGAAAGCAGTTGAATTTCTGTGAGAGGTAATAAATATAGAAGTGTTGCGTCAGCATTCAATAGAGACCAATAGGGTATCTTCTGTTATTAAAAAAAAACTTGCATGTCAGGATTTCTTTTTTATTTTCACTTTTCAATTCCACTTTGTGATTTAACTGCTTCTCATCCAGCCTCATTGAGTGGTTCTGTGTCTTCTTTAGTGACCTTAGATTAAACAGTTCACTCCCAATGCTAGAGTCACCAGTGAAAGATTTGTATATGTCAAGGATATTGAATTAAAATTCATCGAGATCCAGTTGGTAAAATGTTCCTCCTGCAGAAGTCCGAATCTCAAGTTTGTGCGATGACACAGATCCCTCCTCTCTTCTTAGGCTAGGTTTACATCTCTGTGGCTGGGGAACAAATGTAAATTGCATGCGTTCCCGACCAACAGAGAAATGCACTACACTTTAGCAAATGTGTTGGGGTGCCATTAATTCTTAGTTAATGGCATTACAGTCCTCAGATAGACCCCATTACAGTCCGGAGCACCCCCCATTACTGTCCCCAGCACCCCCCATTTCTGTCCCCAGCACACCCCAACATTACAGTGCTCAGATCCCCCCTATAACTGTCCCCAGATCCCACATTTATTGTTCTCAGACCTCATTGCTGTCCTCAGCACCCCCATTAAAAGTCCTAACACCCCCCATTACTGTTTTCAGTGCCCCACCACATTATTGTCCTCAGCACCCCCCATTACTGTCCCCAGAACCCTCCATTATGGTCTCCAGCACCCCCATAACAGTCCTCAAACCTGCTCAATTACTGTCCTCCGTCCCCCTTTACTGTCCTCAGACACCTCCATTACTTGTCCTCAGACCCTCCCCCATTGCTGTCCTCAGCACCTCCATTACTTTCCTCAGTACCCCCCCATTACTTTCCGCAGACCCCCCCATTAGTGTCCTCAGCCCCCCCATTACTGCCATCAGACCTCCCTAATACTGTCCTCAGCAACCCCCCATTACTGTCCCCAGCATCCTCCTATTACACTGCTCAGCGCCCCCACATTACAGTCCTCTGACCCCCCCCCATTACTTTCCTCAGACCCCCCATTACTGTCTTCAGACCCTATTACTGTACTCAGCACCCACCCATTACTGTCCTCATTACCCCCATTACAGTCTTCACACTCCCCCATTACTGTCCCCAGCAACCCCCCATTATTGTCCCCAGCGACCCCCATTATTGTCCCCAGCACCCCCCACATTACGGTCCTCAGCACCCCTACACATTACTGTCCTCAGCTCCCCCTAATTACTGTTCTAAAGAGTTCTCAGCCCCCCCCCCCCCCCAAATTTTTTTTTGTCCCCCAACACCCCTCATTACATTGCTTAGACCTACCCTATTGCTGTTCTCAGAATCCCCATTACTTTCCTCAGCACCCCCCATTACTTTCCTCAGACACCCCATTACTGTCATCAGACCCCCCCCCCATTACTGTCCTCAACACTCTCTATTACTGTCCCCAGCATCCCGCTATTACAGCACTCAGAACCCCCCCATTACAGCCCTCTGACCCCCCCATTACTGTCCTCAGACCCTATTGCTGTCCTCAGCACCCCCCATTAGTATCCTCAGCACCCCCATTACAGTCCTCATTCCCCCATTACAGTCCTCAGCCCCCCTAATTACTGTCCACAGACCCCCATTACTGTCCTTAGCATTGCCCATTACTGTACCCAGTACCCCCCCATTATTGTCCCCAACACCCCCATTACAGTGCTCAGACCCCACTACTGTCCTTAGACCTCCCCCACATTGCTGACCCCAGCACCCCCCCCACATTATTTTCCTGAGACCCCCCCCCATTACTGTCCTGGGAACCCCATTACTGTGCTAAGCACCTCCCATTACTGTACCCAGCACCCCCCATTATTGTCCCCAACACCCCATTACAGTGCTCAGACCCCCCATTACTATCCTCAGACCCCCCACATTGCTGTCCTCAGCACCCCCCATTATTTTCCTCAGACCCCCCCCATTACTGTCCTGAGACCCCCCCATTACTGTGCTCAGACCCCCCCTCCATTACTATCCTCAGACCCCCCCATTACTGTCCTCAGACCACTCTCTCTTTACTGTCCTGAGACCCCCATTACTGTCCCTCAACACCCGCCCATTACAGTTCTCTCAACCCCCCCCCCCACTACTTTCCTCAGCTCCCCCATTAATGTCCTCAGCCCACATTAATGTTCTCACCTCCCCCCCACTGCTGTTCTGAGCCAGGTCAGAAGGGACCACACACGGGAGACACAGCTGAACCATACAGAGGTTACGAGCTGCAAACTGGTGATTGGTTGCTAGGACTGCCCTGAATCCCTGAAGCAACCAATCACTTGCTTGTTAATTTAGGCAGCCCCCACCCTCCATCCAGGAATGTCATGCCTCCCCGCTATGGGCTCTGAAAGAATGACAGCAGTGGGTTGATAGCTGCTGGGCAGAACAGCTCCTAAATGGAAGGACAGAAGCAATCCTGGATGGGACATTGATTCGGACTGGATTCGGACCGCGGTCCACCATTTAGTGATGCCTGGTATATGTGATCATATCACCTCTTATTCTCTGATTCTCTTCTCCAGGGAGAATAAGGTTAATTTTTGTAGTTGATCTTTATAACTGAGGTCCTCCAGTCCTCTGTAGCCCTTTTCTGGACTCACTCCAGTTCAAGGAATCCCTCCTGAGGACTGGTGGCCAAAACTTCATGATATAATGAAGATGTGGCAGTACTAGAGTTTTGTAAAATAGTAGAACTACAGTTTTAATTTTTGAGCAAAAACCCTTTTTAATGCATGTTGATGGTCTGCTAGCCTTGTTTGCTGTAGCTTGGCATTGCATGCTATTGCTACATCTGTTGTGTACAAGGATACTCAGATCTCCATCCTCAATTCCCACAGAGGTCCTCCCCCTAGTGAGTATCTTCCATGAATAATATTAGTTTCATAAAGAGTTTATTGTGAGAAAAATCAGAATATTACAAACAGAATAACAGTGGTAGCATGAAATGCTCAAAGAGAAATATAGGTGATTATTGATTAAGAATATGATTGACAAATATATACATTCAATAAAGCAACAAAAACTATTAAAAGGGGGCGGACTGACCATTCAAACTCGGGCAAGCAAATTGTACCTTTTTCAGTCAAAACAGGGGCAAGATTAAAAAGACTAAGATAAAAGATTTAGTGGAGGATTCTAGTAATAAGTAAACTGGATAAAAGACTAGACATCAAGGAAGATCGTGGATACCATTGGACTTTCCCAAATAGTGTTACAGCTGACTGTTATGTTTGCCAAACCCTGAAGCGTAATTGAGTAGTAAACTGATATGACAGGCCATTCCCTTTGTCGTCCCCGTCAGCAAACCCTTATAGCTTTATTGTATCATTAGCCAGAAACCAATGATAAAAAATATGCATGGAGATGACTGAGACAAAGTTATCACTTCCCTGAGTAGAAATAGACAGGGCAATGTTCAAGGGTCAAGAAAGCAAATGCCGCAAAATATGCCCTATCTACATGACAGAGGGGCCGGCGACAGACTGCGATACCTGCAAAGAAAGAAACAGAGAAGTAAATCCAGATAAGAGATGGAAAAAATGAGAGGAGTAAAAATGTGGGAGGAGACAGAAAAAAAGGGGGGGGGGGACTGTCACATCAGAACCCGAGTGACTCCGCAATCAATAAAACGTTTCCCAAATATCTAAAGCTGTCTGCATACTTTAGCTCCCATGTTATTATTATAAGTACTTATATAATTTACACAGTGCTGTTAATTACACACATATATTGTACATTCACATCAGTCCCTAACCCTCAAGGGCTGTACATTAAAGGTCCCTAACTCGCAAATACTAGGGCTAATTTACCTACCAGCATGTCTTTGGAGTGTGGAAGGAAACCCATGCAAGCACAAGGAGAACATGCAAACTCCAGGCAGCTGTTTGGTTGGGTCCCAAACTAATGACCAGCGGCGGACTGACAAGGGCTCA